CCGATCTCTGCTTTCTTCCACCGAGGTAGAAATCTCTTCCCGACAACAAATTCACTCCTAGAAGAGCGCAGACGACCAGTGAGTGCTGGCTAATCTCACACACCCCTTTTCACTGAAGTAAGGAGGGACGTGCCAGTACGCATCGGTTTTGGTGCGGCAACGACCCGTTTTTCATGAACATTTGTGGCTTCGGGCGTTCAGTGAGTGGTGGAAATGTGGCTGGCGCCGCGCCAAAATCCACCCCTCGCTGACACGTCCCGACTGACTCTACTTATAACCACTAGCGAAGACTCTTGTAGGCAACCGCGAGCGTGACCATAACGCTTACTTCGTTTCAAATCCAGAGAAAGATACCTATTTAAAAAAAGTGGATGAAATATGCGATGCTGTAGCACCATTATAAGTGTAACAAGCAACAAATTAACATCTTTATTGATGTCTAATCATTTTAAGCTTTGTAGTACAGTAATATTTCTCTCTTTAGTAGTACGGTAACATTTCTCTCTTATTATAGACGCAATCGAAAACTAGCGAATTAATTCTTAAAGAGATCGTAGGGATACAATAGAGCGGATGGTAAGGCCTCATGTCGCTAGTTCCTCCTAACTGCGTCGAATTCGACGCGAAAATGCGATCAGAGCCACAACACGAAAGAAGACCATCATCAATAGAAGAATAGTAAAATTAATCCAGAAGTAGTCCGAGTCAAAGCCGAGTACGGTGAGAAGCTGAAAGTAAGTGAGTTTATCAGGATATAATACTGAATGTAAAAATTTCAAAAAGTAAAACAAGTTTGTGGAGTTAGGGCGGAGACCAATAATCATTTTACCTTCCTCACCTTGGCGCCCTCTCCACTTTGCTTTGTTAGAAGAGAGGCGCACCAATAAGAAAGGTGCAATGGATTATCGCTGAAAGTAAGTTTAACCACTCCAGGGTGCGCCACCGCTTTTACTTCCATTCAGATCTTAGAGGCTGTGATTCTTCGCTGGCAACCGCTCAGCAAAGCAGAACTTAGCGCGTTCAGTTTCAAATGCCGCCTATAATGGGGGCAAAATCCAGGTGAAGTCCATACCTCATCGCCATTTCTCGCTGAACAGACCATTTGATCGTTTTTATTAATTGACGGACAACCTCAAAATGTTTGCTCCGCAGTAATACTCAAATTGAAGAACGTAAAAAAAACAGTGTTCAATAGAACGCTTACCGGGTATTTCATCGATTGGTTCCAGCAGAACGATGAGATGAGCTTCATATGCATATCTGTACCAAGAAATGTATGTAAGTGGTTTGAAGTAGAATGGAACTGTTCTGAGATCAATATAGAACCCCGCTGAAATTCAGAACATCTTCAAAGTGGGTATGGACAATGAGGATCGTAATTCGCACGCGCTGGCGAATTACGATCTCTCTTGTCAACATTCCTTTGCAGACTGGAGCGCGCGTGCGACGTCTGTCTGCAAAAGCGCGATGGTTCCAGGTAGTAGATGGCGACAAAATGCAATTAAGGACCGAAAGCAGTAATGACTGTCTACGATGACGGGGTCTACATGAAGTTCGGTGCTCCATTCGACAGGTTAAAACGAGTTATGAAAACGCCGCGCCCATCGCCGCGCGTGGCGGTGCGGCGAATTACGATCCTCTTTACCGTCTCCCCTCACAAACTTGCCACTTCATCACAGGTGGAGAGATTAAGGTAGCTCCCTGAAGACACATGGTACGATCACACATAGTTTGGGTGTGCGTGACTATCAGCCCCCAGCTGTCGAAGCGTAGCGGTTTCCCCGTCCTAACATGCGCAGGAATGGAGATACAGGACCGTGAAACACGCTAATTCCTCCATGCTTCGGCGCGTGTCGCGCCAGCGCGGACGGCTGTTAGCATAAACGGGAGTCTGCGCCGCAAAAGGCATTGGGCGGAGCATGGAGGAATTAGCGTGTTTCACGGTCCTGTATCTCCATTCCTGCGCATGTTAGGACGGAAACCGCTACGCTTCGACAGCTGGGGGCTGATAGTCACGCACACCCAAAACTTTGTGTGATCGTATTAGGTTGAGTCGATATGGCTCGGACAAATGGTAGTGATGATTTCTAGAGATCATAACTCAGCAACGAGTGAACGAAAATGGACGCGCGAGGATACCGTTGAAAGAATATAAAAGCTCTTCAAAAAAATGGCCAAAATGCAATTAAACAAACACTCCAAACTAGTTTCATTCCGCCACCATGCCGCACGATTTCAAGCCGTCCAGAGACCACCTCCGCAACGTCATACTCTTTCTAACGCTATCTGGCCAAGAACCCGCGGATATCGACAGACGCCTAAAGGAAGTCTACAAGGAGCATGCCCCCGCTAGAAGTACAGTCTACTTGTGGCATTCGAAGTTTGCGTCGGGCAACTATTCCATCGAAGACGAAGACCATGCGAGACGCCCGAGGGAGCTGGATTTGGACTCGCTGCGGAAACAGGTGGAAGCCGATCCGTATCAAACCACTCGAGATATGGCGACCGCTCTTGGGGTGAGTCAGACTACTGTCGTTCGCGGCTTGAAGTCAATCGGCAAGGTGCTGAAACTCGGTCGATGGGTACCCCATGCTCTGACGCAGCGGGACATGGATCGGCGGTGCGAGGTCGCACTTTCGTTGCGTTTATACGACACCAGCGTCACCAGCGGCACGCTGGCGTAGCGAGGGCACGGGAAGCATAGCTATCGATCTAGCTTCACCAGCGTTTCTCGAGCGTTTCTCCAGCGGCACCAGCGTTTTGCTAGCGCTTGCAGCGGCAGGGAGTAGAGACTATGTGGCCGTGAGAGACGCGGAATCGACGTGTATTGTAGAGACCATGTGGCCGTCGGAGACGCAGAAGCGATGTGCATTGTAGAGACTATGTGGCCGTCGGAGACGCAGAAGCGATGTGCATTGTAGAGACTAAGGGCGAGTGAGAGACGCGCAATCGATGTGCTTTGTACCCTCCAGCTCTCCCATAGTCTCTACTCCCCTGCCGCTGCAAACGCTAGCAAAACGCTGGTGAAACGCTGGAGAAACGCTGGTGACGCTGGTGAAGCTAGATCGATATGCATCCTCTCTTCGGCACTGCCGCTGGCGTACGCTGGAAGCGCTACGCTACGCTGCCGCAAAGTATAAACGCAGCCTTTCTGCTCTAACTTCAACGCCGTCCACCACCATTGGCTCGACGAAATAATCACTGGCGATGAGAAGTGGGTCCTCTACTCTAACTCTCACCGCCGTGCACAATGGGTCGACAAAGATGCCGACGCAAACGACGTCCCCAAACCCAGTCCACCCGAAAAAGGTGATGCTGTCTGTATTTGGTGGAGCTTAACACTAGAGTAACTGAAAACTGCTTTTCATGAAGGTGCAATAGTAAGCCGGCCGACGTCTTAACATCGTCAATTACCGAGAACTGAGCAAATGTCGCAAAATTCGCAACGGCGGCGGTCCCATGTCTACTTCCAGCACGACAACGCGAGACCGCACATTGCAAGATCGACCAAGGCCGAGCTGCTGTCGTACAGTTGGACCGTGCTTCCACACCCACCGTACTCTCCAGACCTGGCCCCTTCGGATTTCCACCTTTTCTCCCACCTCCAACGCCACCTGGACGGCCAAGACTTCAAAACTCGCGACGACGTCAAGAAGGCACTCGAGAACTTCTTCGAGGCCCAGCCTCCGGCCTTCTGGAGCAAGGGCATCCACGATCTGCCTATCCGGTGGCAGAAGGTCATCGATGAAGATGGAGCATATTTCAAGTGAACCCAGTTGTCGTTAAAAAGTTGTACGATAAAGAAAAAATTTGTCAATTTGTCCGAATCATATCGACTCAACCCTAATACCATGTGTCTTTAACCTATGGTCTCTATTACGCGTTTGTCAGTCGGCCATGTTCGTTGTTGGTCGTCAAGGTAAATGGAGGGGGGAGGGGTTGAGGAGAGCAGAGAACGAGACGACTCTGGATCAATCGTCTGACTGTAAGGGAGAACCTGGGAAAGAAAAATTGATCATAATCCCGGTGGATGAGCACCCTTATGGTTAGTAGCGCTGCCGCTTGTCTCCACCTCCCCCTCCCTGCTCCCCTACAATCTAAGCGTAGACTGTTCCTTTTCGGGGCATTAGAATGCCGAATTGACATATTAAACCAATTTTCATTAATATCACTCCTTCCACTGTACTGCTTCAGCGCAGCCAATGTCGGGTATATTCGCGGTACTGGTCAGGCATTATAGTAACACGGCAACTGTCTCCGCTAGACGGCGGTTCTCTGGGAAGAAAAGGGAGGAAATCTTGAAAGAAAAAACTACAGAAAAGTGACAGGAAGTTGAGAAAATTTTGGAAGATGTTAGCTAGGATGGGGTAGGTGGGACGGGGCATGAGGAATGGGGACCATACCAGAAGAGGAAAGTAGTTAGTCGTATTTTACAAAATTTGTCCTGTTGGACTTACCAAAGACAAAGAGAGGTGTAAGGATTACAGGCACAAAAGTAACGGCGACTGAGAGTTCTCCGAATATACATGCCGCTGTATATGCTAGAAAATATGCTTCTATAGAATGAAAAGCACTTTTTGAAAGATACACATAGAAGGTTCTCAAACTAAACGACAAATCTTTAGTGGACAAATTGCCATGCAGTCCTGGCTCAGCGGCCTCGTGGCGGTGGGTATGTGGCAAGAGAATCGTAATTCGCCGCGCCAGTGGGCGTCGCGTGCGACGTCGCGCCGCTAATGACGACGATTTTAGGTGGTATTGGTCGAGAATAGACAATGTATGACCAAAAATAGACATAAGTGTCTACCATCCTTGTCTACATGAAATCCGATGCTCCAATCGAAAGGGTAGTGCAAATTAAGGAGACGTCGCGCCATTTCCGCGCGCCATGAAGCGACAATTTACGGCCCTCTTGCCCGTCTCCCCGTCTGAACGTAACAACAAAAGGGAGTGGTTTCTTAGACTCCTGACTGCTGACGAAAAGGGGAGGCACATTTCAAGAGAAAACAGGCATGAGACCGCAGGCCTCACTCGTTTGTCCACTGCTTTCCATGTGATTTCGAAATTGATGAAAAAGTACTGTAGGATGTGGTTGACATGGCTACAACTTACCAACAGATGAAGAAAGATTAGCCATCAAGACATTCATCAAATTGAAGAGTAAGTATTGCGAGAAAGTTCTAGAATAACCTGAAGGGGGAAACCTGCTCGAAGTATAGGAGTTATAGTGCTTTCATACTTGCTTTGCGTCAGCGATGGGCGTCCACAGCGACAATCATGATACCTTGGTACTTTCTTACTCGTAGCAAGAAATGCGCTAATCCGTCAGATTGATAGCTGTGGTTTACTAGTCGGTGACAGCTCTGGCGGGAGCACGAATGCTCGTGGATATTCAAAAGTTCAAAACCGGCAAGGCAAAAATTTCATCCTTTCATCATTCAGGTGCCAGAAACAGGGTTAATGTTTTTGAAAAAGAATTGAAAGATCCATACTATATGGCGGCCGGTAATATTAGTTTATTGGAAGAACTGTAAGATGAATACGCTGCTAGTTAATATATAAGAATGAAGAGTAAACTGGGGTCGGAATGATGACGTACTGGTGACCTTAAGTAAAATGTGAACGGGGAACATTGTTCGCTATCTGTAATTAAGCTCTAGTTTAGTTAGCTGGTACATTCTTATTAAATATGTCATAGGTTTATATTGAGTGGTATCCGCAGCCTGGCTTTGTAGAAATACGGTAAATGCGTTTAATTGGTATAGATTTGACTTTCGGCACCCTAGAGTAGGCGCGTGTTCTGTGGGGGACTCGAAGAATGACGGTAACAGGACACGAGGCCAAGGGAAATCTTTTGCAGAATATTTTTATATTTTGTCTGGGGAAATTAACGGGCAATATTCACAAGTATTAAACTGTTGCTTCTCCTTTTCCTCGGTATTCCTAGTATAGCTAATGGCTTTTGTCATGGTGTACAATATGTGTTGGATGATGTAATTGAATATGTATGGTTGCTCCCATCTGCCTGCGATTGCTCGGCGAGTAGGCATTCGGCTATGGTGTGCGAATGATATGCTGACGTTCTGGGATCTAGCTCACCCGGAAGATTTTCGGATGAAAACTAATCGAAGGCACAGTTTTGGATTTTCTTGCGTCTGAAGTCCAAAGGAATTTCACAATATGTTCATAATTTTGAGCAGAGCTAGCAAGTGGTGATTGCATAAGTTGTTGGCGCCGGTGTTGTAACGCTGGGGACTAGGAACATTCAGATTGCTTGAGCCACGAAGAGGGTAGAGAGGAGCTCAAGACCTTCTCGATGTGGGGGTGGTTGGTTACGTCGCTTCAACAGGCTCACCTGTTTTGAAATCGCATTTTGGAGCTACATGATCGAAACGAAAGACCTACTGACGCGCCTCGCAAGAGGCCTTAAGCAGACAACGGGTAAGAAGCTCTGCCCAATCCTGAAAGGCAAGAAGGGGTCGGCATAACAAGCGCGTGATTGGTCGGGTCCGTCTTAGCTGCATTTGGCCACCATGTCACTGAGAATATCGTGTGACAGCGCCTGTGAACTTAAGGTGAGATTATCTGTAGTACCTAATTGGATGAAGATAGAAAGGCGATGCGTGAGCCGTAACATGGCCTAGGCTAATGCGTTTTGACTCCCACTGAAATTTCGGATTTCTGCGAGCTCTATTTTCATAAAATTGCATAGATCAACATCCCATAAAACTTGTATATAGGGGTAAATTCAAGCATCTGATTTCACGAATATGAGGTTTCATGTTTTGGGCTGGCGCTAATGGATGGACTACGGTTCTGGCGTTTGTTAGGCGAGCAGGAGTAATGGTAGTGTCTTACTTGGCCAGCGCCAAGAATGAGTGTCATACTCGTAATCAGGATGTTGAATTACCCCTATATACAAGTTTTTAGTGGATTTGGTGACTTAGGCAATTTGAAAATGAGCTCGCAGCCGAAATTTCTGGAGTCCAAACGGCATTAGCCACACTCTTATCGCTGGTGGAACATCCTACGCGGTTGCGGACTTGGACAAGGTACACTTTACATCACCGCAATTGTCGGGTCGCAATCAGCGGCTCGCACCTGCGGCGTTTCCATCATTGGTTGCTCCCTCCCTAAATCGATCTTTACCCGATCGCCATTGGTAGAGCAACGAGGCCGAACCATTTGGACCGCGTTGCACAGCCGCCCTCCGACAGTCCGCAATGATGAGGACTGTATAAACGGGAAGATTTCTATTTTCGGGGCAACTGCGGAATATGTCTGTAGCTCTCTTGGCACGGCTGTTCTCGACGTCACCGTTTCAAGATATCAATCACCGAAGTACAATGAGTACGTACGTAGATGCAGGGGAAGAAAAATATGTAAATCATATCGGCTGTCGCACGCAATGCAGCTCCTTTGTAGTTCAGAAGCGAATCTTTCGAAAAACTCGAATCAAAGTATATCAATCCAAGAATCATTGAGATGGCCTGAATCAGGTTTCTGTTCATTTATGGGTTTCAGGAAGGCTTCGCTGGGGAATGATATCGCATTTTCAAAGATGAAATAACAGGGAGGATAAAAGTTCTTACGATAACTTGAAGAAATCGAATAACTACGATGGTATGATTTCGCATTATACTCCTTGATGATCTTAGAAATAAGCACCAGAATTGCGTACCCCAAGAGGCACAATATCTGAATTTATTTATGCATAGCTGATTTTTGTCTTACTTTTGTTAACCCATTTGCGATGGAGCCGCTCCATGTTGGCTGTAGGGGACACGTGCTCGTAGATTGACAGCGACCCATACGAGCTGCCCGCTAATTCCCTTCACTATCTAAGAACTATCCGAGGAGTTTTCGACCTTTTTCTCGGTTTTTTTTTTAATTTTTAGTGGATTAGCGCCTCAAACTTTGTACTTAAACCTTACTAACCACCAATGGTACCTTGGGCACCGCCCCTGAAGTCACAGGGCACTGTTGATAGCTACAAGTAGCCTGCAGCTGACCACTAGTAAATTTAATCCTGCTATACAGAAGCGAAGAGGGGGCAAAAACCCTTTTTTGGAATAAAAGTAACTAAAGTGGTGTAAAATTTAGTCAAGTAATTACGGAATCAAACAACTCACTTAGCATTTTCTCCTGGATTGAATTTTTTCTTTCTTTTATAGGATGTAGTTGCAAAGCTATGCGTGATATGATGTGATATTATGGCACCCTCAGAAGTTTCGAATGACTCCAAAATTTTCTTAATTTGCTTTCATCAAGTTTTTCTTAATTCCTAGCGATCTGCGATTTGTGGAAAGTACTATTTTCATTCTCACAGGGGAGGGCATTTTTGTAATTTCATGGGCATCAGGACATGATACTTGCAAAATGAAATCAGTTTCATTTTGACACGCAATATTGTGTGGTCAAAAACGGGAATTTTCACTTCCCCTACCTCTCCCCTTTGAGAAGGGAAATAGTGCTGGAACATTCATAAGCGCAATGCATACCTCAACCCTTTCACTGTGTTCTCGGTCAGATACGTGCTCTTCACGTGAAAGAACTTTCAATATATGGTCAGGTATACTTACGAACTGGGGGCAAGGATATCCACAACTGCAATAGAACTGTTTCCGTACTACTCTGAAGTTAAATAGGGAAAGAACACCCTTCGCCTTTCATTCAAAATAGTGCAGGCAAGCACTTTGCTATCTGTTTATGGGGTCATGGAAGTGAGCAGCTTTTTGAAAACATTCATTAGAACTACGCTAGCGAAAGCCGGCTTTCTGTCATCAGACTTGGCTGAAAGCACATTTGGCCACAAAACATGGGGAAAAACAGCATCATCCATGCTTTCCGTTGATGTTTAACCCTTGGCTCTCTGGTGATGTCCGAGTTGTCGCAGCAGAGGTGTGAACTGGCGGTGTCGGTACGCACCCTTTCCATCCTCCTTCCCCGACGTACCCACCATCTTCCTGGAATTTCCCACCTTCCTACAACTTTTCTAATTCTTCCAATAATGTTCCTAATGCATCATGAAAGAAACTGCCCCGGAAAACTTCTACCAAAAACGGATACGGCTACCACTGACCAATAAGGATCCTTTCCCCATTGACCATGTAGGAGTTCCCCGCCCGGATTCTTCCAAAAGACACCGTACATTCTTTGTGATGCCCTTTCGATTCGCCAGCGATGTTGAGTAAGTTGTTTTTGTTATCTCTGTTTCCATCCGAAAATACCAATATTTACTTACGAGCTGAAGAAGCTCCCAACTTCACAAGCATTTCCTTGAAATGCGACTTCCCCATTTGCCATTAAAGATTCAACCTGCAGATTCTATTAAACAATGGCAGTTAATTTCTTTGGTGAGGCCTAGGAAATATTATACTTATCAGCCCATTTACGCTAGCACTTGAACTTGAAGTGCTGTTGAATGGTATGACGCACAGTTTTTTCCTTGAGATCCAATCACTTTAGTGCCTGAACAACCTAACAACACCTTCATGGCATCCAGTGCCAGCATGCAGCGAGCAACGTTTATTGATAGAATGAAGTTTGGGCGTTGTTCAGCTTGGAGGGGGCATTTTGCACTCTTGCTGGTTTCTCTTGCTAGTACTTGTGAACTAAGTGTTAATCCCTGTATAATCTTGGAAAGTTGCTAAATGTCTCAGAATTTACAATACGTCACCTAAGTTGGGTCTGACAAAGTGAGCATGAATACATTTGTGTCCCACCCCCCCCCCCTCCCAAGCCACCTGCGGCTAAAATTTGTGGAGATTGTTCACACTTTACCTGCAAAGCCATGAAGGAGTCGAGGCCAGATGTTGGCTCATCACAGAATAAAATCCATGGATTTGATAACAACTGCAATAAACACCTCTACAATATGACATCAAATAATATTTTCAGAAGCTCACCTCCGTAGCAAATGCAAGTCGCTTCCGTTCTCCTCTAGACAGGCTTTTCGCGACAGAACTCCCTATTCGAGTCTTTCGACATGGCGTCAAACCCATCTAAAGAATCCTTGGTAGAAAGTATTTCCACATTTTCAGTTTGATCTTTGAGATTAGAAACCCTCCGGAAACCAAACCGGAACTCGCGCTGGCACCGCGCCGAATCCATCCCTCACCCTTGACACCCTCCCCAGCATCCGCAACTATCAAGACTCTTTATGCTTGATCCTTTTGCTTCCGTCCAGGGATTTGTTTCTAACTATCAAGCTGAAAAAGTCGTCAGGGTGGGATCGGGAAGGGCGTGACATAAGATACAGGGTACCCAAGACCTGACCTGTGCTGAGCTCCGCCCACCGTGGGTGGGACATGCGAAGAAAGCGGGCGGTCTCGCGGACAGAAATCCATGATTTGCTTCCAGAACGGAACATAAATGGGGAAAAGTGGAATAAGGTCAGCAGTTGGTCTAGGAGGGAATGGAGAAGCACATGCAAAATAGTAGCTCGGTTCTCGACAGAGTTTGGAGATCGCAAAAAGTTGAAGAAGAAGAAGGGTACCTGGCTAGGGTTGCTGGCTTGCAGTGTGTTGAGACTCGCCCGCAGTGGGTGTAGCGCAAAGTACTTATCCAAAAACTAGTAATTTGATCCCAGAGCACTCCAAAGAACGAGAATAAGTGTGTCGAGGTCAGCGGGGATCAGCGAATGAGGGGAGGTAGACACATACGCTGTGGGCGGGGCGTGCGCCAAGGTGGGCGGAGCAAAACAAATGCAGAAGCAGCAGACCTCGCGATATGTAATAGCGAAGAAGAGTAAAGAGTAAGAGAAAAATGAGTTTTCAGGCCAACATTGTCACTTACTACTTCAATAACTTCTGAAACGATTTCCTTGCGTTCTTTGCTTGTCTTTTTCGCACGCATGCGTAGTCGCGCCTAAAAAAGTTGGATACAAACATGGATAACCGGACAGTTCAGGGGTGTTGAGGAACTCCTACTCGAGCTACTAGGGTTCTTCAAAAAAGAACAGTTTACCGTGAACATCAACTGCTCTTCAACAGTAGCTTCGCTTATGAAAATATCTTCCTGTTGCACATATGCACTGAGTTTTTTCATGTCACCCTGTTCAACCAGCGTTCTGAAACAAATGTCAATAATACCTTCGGGTCATGTACATTTTCTTGGAAATGAGACGTCAAGAGCGATTATGAGCTGTTCAATGTTC